TGAAATGAATTGTCGGTAATTTGGACGGCTTTAGCATCCCCTTAAGTACACAAGTTGTTTCATTATTTCCTTGAAATCTCGAAATGTTTTTTTCCTCAGGCGAGTCATTCTGTTATACAGAAAAAATCAGCAATTCTTATTTCCGGTTACTCACACCAAAGAAACCTCTTCCTGGAAGAGAGACAAATAAGATTTGAGATACATATATCTTCTCGAAAGAACCGACGTTAATAATAATCGATAATAATTATCACCGGCTTTATCGCGACATTCTTCTTCGACAAAAAGCTACCGTTCGGTCAAATCAAAATGAGAAACTGGAAATAAGCTCGAAATTATATCTCACCTCGAGGCAGACAGACGCGCGCTTTCTCGTCGCGGATCCCGAGAACAACTTGAAGTGCGCCGCATGCGCGCGCGCTCGAGGTTGGCAGCAGTTAGGGATCCTTTAATGAGAGATAGGACACCGAAACTGCAGGATGGGGATTAGTCGTCCGCCATTAATGGGATATTTCCGCTTTGAGTATATTTTAGTAAAGATAGTGTATAGTATATGTCAATTTATTACTATGACCACAGTAACTGTACATACAAACTGTGTCATAACTGATAAAGTGAGCAAGAGAAAAAATAAAAGTGTAAGCATTGTACTTAATTAATAAATCTAATTTCATTAAAATTGAATGTGATTAATTTTATATTATCATTTAATACTGAAATGAGAAAATATATATATAGAGAATATACATAACCTCAACTATAAATCATCAAATTAACTAATATTGATAAATATAAGCTCAGACTATCGCGTCAACACATTTTTAGTATAAAAATAATTTTCAAAATTGTTCTGTTTTTTTCATTTATTGAATTTACAAATTTGCTAAATTTATATTAAAACTCTTAAATTTATCAAAAAAATTATTTATTGCATTATTTACTGCATTTATTTTTTTGTGATAAGTTAAATTTATCAGTATTTATTGTTTGTTACTATTTACTTAATTTCTTAATTTACGGAATTTATTTCATTTAATTAAGTTTTATTTATTTACTTCAATTTAATTGAAATAAGACATATTTTCGATACAGTTATTTTGTTTTATTTAAAAATGACGCGTAATGCCTGCCGTCACTTCCGCTTCCATTAATGGCGGCTTTGTCCCATCCCTCATTAAAGGATCCCTAACTTCTCGAGGACGATTTGCGCTCGAGCCACGGTAGCGTGCGGACGTAGATCATTCCCTCTTCCGCGATCCTGCGCAATTGTGCCCATTCATTCCTGTATCGGCCAATTTTCCTCGTGTCGCACGAGTTTTTAATATAAAGTGTTTGGTGTTTCATTGTTCGCTCGGACATTATTCACCCGTATTCCGGGTTTTCTTTACGGTTTTACTTTTTTAGTGCTGTTTTTACAAGACTTTCATATCGTCACGGAATCCAGCAAGGAGATAAGCAGGCTTCGGCCACGTGCATTCCTAATTTCAGCGATGCCGCCCTTAGCCAGCAGAGGCTTACCACGACGTTAAGTGAGTTTTAATGAGGTTTCAAACAGTCTCGTAAAAGAGGCCAGTACGCATAACTTGCATGTGAGCCCCATTAATTCGTCTATCATTAGATCTCGCTCTCCGTCTAGAGAACGCGAACTCTCGTCAGATTTTGAAAACAATTCCATCGATTCCCCGCAGGAATCAGATAATAGCATGGGGGGAAAAAATAAAAACAAGAAACGTAATTTCGTAAATGCTAAGGGCGCGAGTGATAAGACTCTCTCCCCCCTCGACCCCACATCGGTTTTACGGCCCCAAATACAGGCCCAATATGACCGTCCTCAATAACATCAACCGCGCGGTAACCAATTCGGCACGTGCGGCATCCGATTTCATTGCCCACGAAAACTCGAATCAAAACAACTCGGAAATCCAAAACAAGGACGCCGCGATAGCTTCCAATAACGAGACGGTTGAAATCGACACAGAAAAATCCCCTCTCGTAGATTTGACGATGAAAATTGACCGCGTTGACGATACCAGAAGGGGTGTTAAACGTCCGACCGATGACAGCCTCCCCCGAGTGGGGGTGGGGCGCCAGATTCACCCGCTTCTAACAAAAAATACCGTAGAGAAGCTATCAGGCACTCTTCTACGGATCTTCCGCCGTATTTAGTATACACTTCCAGTATGTGGAAACTAATGTCTAATCCCCGACTCCCTTTTAATTTCTAAATTTATCAACGAATCTCTAGGAGACTTCTCGAGGACGCGCTAGGCATTCGTTACTTCCGGAAAGGCGGAATGTTGATTGGCCGTGTTCAGCAGGAACAAACCGTTCAGTAGCAATCGAACGTGATTGGCTCTTACTTTTAGACCTAACAAATCAACGTAGCGTGTTGATAAGACGGCACGACGGCACTCAACATTGCGATCATATCCAAAATCAAACTACACACGGGTCCAGAAGTTTTAATTTTAACACACATCTAGTGCGACACTTTATTTCAAAGTATTTAACTTTTTTGCTATGGTGGCGTTGGCCCAATATAGCGATTATGAAGTACGGCAGCATAAGCCGCCTGAGCCGCCAGCGTTTGCCTTGAAGCGAAGAAGTGCTATGACTCCACTGTTTTAACTCGTTGCATTAAAGATATATAATTTTTCAAGCATAAAAGTAAAACGGGATTTACATAAGTACAAAATTATATTTTAAAATTATATTTTATTATTATTTTAAACTTCGTATTTAATACGCTACAAGCAAAATTAGTATTGTAAAGTACTCAATGTACGTTGTTCCATAGAATAGATTTTTAAATTAAAATGATAAATAAATACGACTTGGAGATTCTTCACAAATTTATAATTTAGATGAAACAAAAACCATGACAGTTCAAAATAGTCGGAAGATAATTGCTGAAAAAGGTTTCAAAGCTGTGTGTAAAATCAAAATTTAATCACCTGTTTTGATATTTCCTCGGATGAATTACCGCGATCACATGCTGACTGGTGCTCCGCCTAACTCGTTGGGTCTGGCCAATCCATCAGGCTGTATGACCAATAAACTTTTTGTTAAAACAATACAGCATTTTGTACAATTTTCATACAGCACGTAGGATAACTCATCACTTTTGATCTATGACAACTATGAGAGTCAAATAAGTTTAGAAGTCCTTGAGTTAGCAAAAGCAATAGGTGTCTACATTTTAACGCTACCTCCGCATTTATCACACCGGATGCAGCGCCTTGATGTTGGTCTATACGGTCCATTCCAGAAGTTTTACAATTTTGCTATTGATTCATGGATGCTGAGTCACCCGGGGAAAACAGTATCAATTTATGAAGTAGCTAATTTTGTCGGCATAGCCTTGCCACGCGCTATGGCACCAAATAACATTATCAATGTTTTTAAAAAGACAGGAATTTTTCCTTAGGACCCACATGCATTCAGCGATGAAGATTTTCTCCCGAGTTTAGTTTCGGAACGGCCTTTCCATCAAGTGTGACAACAGAGGAAACTGACAACGTAGCAGGTCCATCACAATATAATCTTCTTTACAAGAAGTAAATGCTGTAGCAAACGACTCATCAGGCACGCCATCGAGGATGTCTGTAGCAAACGATTCATCAGGCACGCCATCGAAGATATTAATAGATAAAGATTTACAGTCAACGACACAAGAAAAAGAAGCAGCTGACGAGGTCCCAAGCCAGTTTAAAAGTCCCGCAGAAATTAGAGGCTATTCAAAAACATTACAAACGAGAGGGTCGCGGAAATTGAACGGCACGTCGTCGTCATCGTCATCGTCGTCGACGTCGTCGTCGGGCAGGTTAATTCAGATCATCGATAAACTGGAACGCCTGCTGGATCCTAATGTCGTGTCGCCTCGCAAACGCATCCTGCGAGAGCTGGAGAGAGTCTCGTTGGATGATCAGGCGTCCAAGAGGCATCAGTATGGAACTAGAAAACGTAGACAGCAGGGTAGCAGCAAAATTTTGACTGATTCTCCGGAGAAAAAAAGTTTAGTAGAAAAAAAGAAAAAACAAGAAGAAAAGGAAAATAAGATACGAAAGAGAAAACCAAAAAAGTAAATAACGTTCTTACAGTATTAATAAAGAGAGTTATTAATAAATTAGATAAAAAGAAAAGAGTATAAACGTTTATGTTTTTTGTTTGTAAAAGAGTATGAACATTTTTTTGTTTGTAAAAAAATGAGCATTTATGTATTTTTTTGTTCTAAAAAAGAACACATACACAACAAATATAATAAAGATCTAAAAAAAAACACGTACACAACAACTGTAATAAAGAAACATCATTAAGGAAATTAGATGTTACTACTAATTCATATTTTTTATAATTTTACTTCCTATTTACTGATGCAAACTTTCGGGTATCATTTTAAATATTTTAAAGAAATCAGATATTACTGATTTATCATATCTGCTTGACGCAAAAATTCTGATATTATTGCTTTTATAGTTAAAAATACAAATAAAATTATAATATCAAATATTATTTAAAAAATTTTGTCAATAATGAGTTTGTATAGAACACGTACATTGGTCATCGGCGTTATTTTCTTTTTAGAAAAATGTAACTTTTGTAGATTCGTACGTCATCTAGTAATTAGGAAAATTTTAAATATATATCCTTATAAATATTTACTCTAATAAAAAAAACCATACTTTTTTTTACTTTTGTGAAAAATTCTATAAACGCTTTTTATAAGGCGCTCACTGTAACACAATATAGTATCAGAGATCTGTATTACAGGAGAAGAAAACGCAGCAAGTTTTGGAATTATTTCAATGATTTGAAACCATCGCTGGCAAAGTGCACGACCTGTAAAAAAGAAATTAAGATATCTCGTCCATCAAACCGTATAGCAATATTCAGAACACATTTAAAGAAACATGGAATATTTCTCGATAATGACATTCACACACTATCTGACGAGTTAAAACAATATTACTCGGAGTTTCCAGGATATAAGGCAAAATGTAATAATTGCGGCGAAACAGTATCCTTCTTAAACAATATTGCAAATTTACGAAGACATTTAAAAATACATTCCACAATAATCCAGAGTCGAGATGAGTAAGTACACATTCAAAAAATTATTAAAATACCAAAGATTATAAAATAAATGTAATGACAAAACAATCAATAAATAAAAAAAGTTGAACAAGTAAGAGTTTTTATCGGAGCATCCATATAATATTTATTTGCAATTTTGATCATAAATGTGCACGTACACTTGGTGCGTTTTTTACCTATCTTTGAAAAAGATATGTTTGAATATCTGTACGCGATCTGATAATTATGCAAATTTTAACTACATAGATATATATTCATATTAAAACATACATCCTAATAAATAAACTATATCTCTTTTTCTTCTTTGTAAGAAATTCTACAAACGCTTGAAGGCGATCACTGTACCACATTTAATATCAGACAGTCTGTATACTCTGTATTACAGGATGATTACAATAACATCGAGAAAAAGACGCAGCAAGTTTTGGAATTATTTTAAGGACCTAAAACCTTTGCTGCTAAAATGCAGGACCTGTAAAAAAGAAATTAAGGTATCTAACCCAGGAAACCGCATAACAATAATGAGAGTACACTTATTTAAAAAACATGGAATATCTCTCGATGATGACACTCTCACACTACCTGACGACTTAAAACAATATTACTCGGAGTTACCGGGATATAAAGCAAAATGTAATAATTGCGGCGAAACAGTATCCTTCTTAACACATCATATTGGAGATTTACGAAAACATTTAAGAAGACATTCCACAAAAATCCTGAGTCGAGATGAGTAAGTACACATTCAAAAAATTATTAAAATACTAAAGATTATAAAATAAATGTAATGACAAAACAATCAATAGATAAAGAAAATTGAGCGAATAAGAATTTTTATCGGGGCATCTATATAATATATTTATTTGCAATTCTGATCATAAATCTCTCTCGTATCTCTCAAATCGTAATAATGATGTTTTTTTAATTATTTCGCAAGTATAATTTAAATAGATATATGAATCGCTTATTTTCACGTTTTTTCATACATCATAGATATAAACAATTCAAAAATTTAGATTAAATAATGTCATTAAATAATATTGCAGAAATTCGAGGTAGATGTATAAAAAGTATGATTTATACATAGTTTTTATAGATATTTAAATTGAATAGCTCTATTTAATAAAATCTATATCTAGGACAACTTTCAAATCTGCCATCCACTGATTACGTATATGAATAATAGTTAATAAATTAATAATAATTAATAAACGTTTCTGTTAGACAAAAATCAACCGTTCTTTGTAGTATTTGAATACACGTTGTAGGCCTACAAATGTTAGCATAGTGATATTAATTATTCGTTACCCTTGAGATTATTATTATTATATATATATAGCACCAACCTAATTCATTCTGACCTTATCTACAATTTTTCGTGAAGACATTCTATCATTTTTGACCGTTATAATTGATGACCGTATTCGTCTTATGTTTAAACGCGTACTCATATTAACTCGTTAACTGCTTTAGACGTTTCTCAAAAACGTCATTGTAACGTATAAAATATCATAAGTTTAATTAGAGAGATACACCATTTTACGATCTCAGGACAGGATTTTGGTAAACTAATATAGAGGAAAGTACCCGATTATGAGATACCATATCTATTTTGTGTGAATGCCGGAAGTCTATGGGCAGAATTGAAAAATATAGTAGGTCATTTTGCAGGGAATTTAATAAGCTTTAAGATGCTAAAATGTAAAATTTAATTTAAATATTAATTTTGCTGAAAATTAGAAAAATGTAAAAATGAGCTTTCGGCAAAATCGCAAAAGTGTGCTCCTAATATGAGAAACCCCGGGAAATCGCTAATAAAGTGCAAAATACATCAATATTACTATTAAAAACCTTTATTTAATGTTTCTCAAATACACATGTGATGCAGAAGCATATTTGCAACAATCGTAAACCCCTTCCCTCCACCCTTCCCTCTCAAATCAAGGTCAGCACAGTCTTATAAATTCGTATAAACCTTCCCTTAACGTTGATATAGTATTTTCTCTTCTTTTATTACTATACAATAACTTTCATACTCCAGCAACTCAGAAGTACTCTGAGTATCTTATGTTACGAGCACCACGCCTTGCGCGGTTTCACGATCACCAAATCTAATCTCTACAATTGAGCAACTCAACATATCCCGTATTTTCCTATTAATACGACCTTACTCTATCGCTGCATGCAGAACTTATTGCCAAATATTTATTAATTATATAATAAACAAGGTTTAAAGACTCATATCCATGACACTTGATAACATCCAATTTCACAATTTCTTTCTCTGCAACGACTGCACGATCAAACAATGAATTTTTCACTAAATAGGTTTTACCCCAAAGGCAATGAGTTCATGGTGGAATCAACAGATAGGGCCGATTAGTTTAGCAGAAACCTCGCTGTCGCATATTAGGAGCCTTTCTCATAATAGAGGACTTTCCTCTAATATTATTCGTGTAAATTTATGTACATTTCTTCATCTCATCTAAAGCTAGAATAGATCAATTACGTTAAAATAGCGTTTCACCCTAACTCAATTTTATATCATATCGTGTTTCACTTATCTATTAATCACGAATTCAGTCTAGACATTAATTATTTGACATTAGCATTAAAGACATTCGAGGTATAAAACATTCTCTCCCTATCTTTTTCTTTTTCTTCCTCCTACTGACTCTCACTTACAAAATTTTACTCCATTACGGTTCGCCGTCAATAAGTACATAATAGCATTAAGTAATATGTACAATGTACAGTTGTAGAATTTTAATAATAATTATTTTTTTTTTAATTTTTAATTACACTACTTTTCTATGCAGACCAAGCACTTCAAGTTTAGCGAATAATAGTGTAGATCCTTCTGCAGACCGTCAAAGTCAAGATACATCTGATTTGTTCATACAATCATTTAAAGAAGCGACAGAAAAAACAGGCGCACTTGATAAGTAATTATAAGTATTGTTTATATCATACAATATAATATCTTGATATTTAAATATTTACTCTTTTGCAAAAGAATGATTTATAACATTAATTTAAATATTTCCATTTCTAATTGCACCGTATTTTAATGCAGACCAAGCACCTTAAGTTCGACGGCTTATATTATGGATCCTTCTACAGGAAAATGTATCCCTCTGCGTCAAAGTCAAGAACAAGTACCATCTGGTTTACCCGTTCAATCATTTAAAGAAACGGCAGAAAATACAGGAGTACTTGATGAGTAATTATTCGTTTAGCGTTTAATTTATATAGTATAATGTAATGATATCCAAATAGTTAAATATTGATTTTTCTGCATAAGTATATTTTACAACTGTGACATTTTAAAAATAATTACTTTCTCCTTTTTATTTTTAATCACATCATGTTTCTACACAGACCGAGCACTTCAAGTTCAACGGATTATGTTATGGATCCTTCTGCAGAACATCAAAGTGGAGAACCATCTGATTTGCCCATTCAATCATTTGAACAAATGACAGAAGGAACAAGCGCACTTCATTCGGATTGGTTCTATTATACAATGTAATGATATCCAACTAGTTAAATATTGACTTTTCTACATATATGTTACTTACAACTGTGACATTTTAAATAATTATTGTTTCTTTTTAATTTTTAATTATACCACATTTCTATGCAGGCCAAGCGCTTCAAGTTCAACGTGTTATGTTAAGGTAAACGTACCAGTGGCCGCACACGTCCCAGTCGCCGCACACGACTTTAATGTTTACAATTTATTAAGCATTTCGTGAAGAATATTGCAAATTTAAAAATTGT